GGCCAAAGGATTAAGCTATCAACAAACTCATTTTTTCATGGAAAAACATGAGGAAGAAAAATGTTTATTAAATTTTATAAAGGCGAAGTCTTAGGCTGTGAGTGATGCGTGTCTCACTGGTCTCAGTTGCAAGTTTTTAAAAATGGAAATGGGAAGAACATAGAAATCTTAGTCTTTTGGCACAAGAGCGTCACACTCTTCCTGAGAAGCTGCTGGAGTTTGGGTTTGTGGTCATGTTTCTCAGGCTACTAGTCCTTCACCAGCAACCCAAGAATATTGGTTTTATTATGTAGTTTGTATTTCTGTACTAGATTTGTGATTATTTGCCAACTAGTATAGACTCATATCGTTTGGATCTAGACAATCTGAACTAAATCCATTCATGAGAGGAAACTAAGGCATAGGAAGAATGAATGACTTGCTCAGAGCATTTTCTACTTAAATCTGATCTTTTCCCTTCTTGAGTCTGGTTGTGGGGTACATGATAAACACCAGATGCAGCTAGAAAGAAAACTTCCCTCTGAAGACCCCAGAAAAGATGCATGGGTTCCATTGGTACGTGTTTGATTTATAATTTAGACATTTTTCGGTTTGTTTTGGACAATGATTGAAGGAAGGTGTTCTGAAAAGGGCTTAGGATGTTCCTGACCCCAATATAGCTGCCCACCTCCCACCCCACCAAAGTACTTGCTGAATTTCCTGAAGCTGGGACAGCAATTAGACCCATAAAAATGAAGTTCATTAATGAAAACTAATTGAAAATTAATTCACCACGACTCCAGGGAAGAGCTTGCATTTAAAATGTTGTGTTGTTAGCGAGCAAGTCTCTAATCATCAGAGCATGGCAAAATACTTCAGAATGACACATAGGTTAATGAGGTGGTGAAGCATCAGAAGAACGAAGTCTTGTAGTATTAAAATAGCAGCCACACTTAAAACGGCTGGCTCGCCCCTCCCTTCTGACTCCCTTCCTGCCCCATTCCACCTTCTTGCTTCATTGTCACTAGACAGAGTGGACACGGCCGTGTTATCCCTTCCCCCAACAAATCTGTCCTAGAGAAGAAATTCCACAATAATCTCCAAGTTTTGATTACTAAACATAAGTTTTGCAAATGCCAATTTATCTATTCTCTAAACCTTAAGTAATCTACTTTTTCATTTTTTAAATGTGTTATGGAAATTTTCAAACATATACAAAAGAGAGAATGCTATCATAAAATCCCCCACCTGAGTTACACAGTTATCTACTGGGAACCTACTTTAAATCATATTTTAGTAAATTTGAAAGAGCAAATATTTAGACTTAGAGTGTTTTCTTTCTCACAAAATAGATATTACGTGATAGCAGGCTTGCTTTTCTTCTTTGTTTTCATTCATCTAAAAAATATTGATTAAAGGTATTGTACGTGCAAGATGGAACTAAGAGGGATGGGACATTTATTCTTTTAAAATTTCACCCACGTCTCTTCTGAGGGATCATCTAGGATCCCCTTGAAGCATCTTTACATGCAGACAGTTTCTAATTTTATGTTTATATTTATGGATTTTTCTTTTTCTCTGTTAGATCGCAGTTATCATGAACATTTGACTGCATCTTTTGGTGATTCCAAGAGGGATTGTTCTCCAAGAAAACATCCATTTTCATTTTGCTCTTCACACAATTCATAGCTGTGCTGGTATTGAAAACATTGGTAAACCGGTGTGTGAAGGAATCTGATGAATCACTGCCTTTCCTCTCTATCGTATTTTTTATTATTTTTGAAAATGAGAAATTAAGGGTGGGATTTTGAAGATAAATTCTTTTTCTCCATTTGGTTGTTACCAGAGTCAATTTGTGTTTCCTTTATTGTCAGTCCTTTTAGCAAATCTCATCTCTCAACTTGTCCAAAATCTATTATTCAAGTATTCTAGCTTCAATATCAACCCAAGGAAGAGAATAAATAGTCTCTTTGTTCAACCTTTTAGAAAGTTTTTAAGAAAGCTGCTCAAAACTACCGAAGTGTTCTGGACATCTTTAGCACAGTCTTTCACGGCACAGAGCTCAGACACGCCCCACAGGAGAGCACACCCTCCTCAAACGCCTCCCGTCTTCACGTCCCCCTGTGTGTGTGAGTCCAGTTCTCCACGTCCCACAACAAGTCATTTCAGAACAATTCTGCTTTGGTATCTTCTTTTTAAAATTTCTTTTTTTAAAAAAGATATTTCCTCCCATATCACATTATTCTGATTTTTTTCAACTAAATTGCTTAGACAAATATATGTTTATGGTATTGCTGTTCTGTTATAATGTTTTCAAGAAATTTTAAAACAGAAAACCTGATAGAGTAAAAAGTTAAACAGCCTATGAAAATGCCTCGCAGTGCCCCAGGTGGAGTAGGAGATTGATGTTGCGTTCTGACTGTGATTTTGTTTCTTATTTATTTAATTGCTAAGAAAAGTTCTATGTAATTCAATTTGTACAAACAGATTTGATGTAATACGAGCCACAACCTTATTAGTACTAGAGCCAGCTTCAAGCGGAAATGGAGACATAAAAAAACATGAAGTCTTTCAATTTTGAATATATCTATTAAATTTATCTGACATGCTTGGTCAGATATTTTCTCCCTGTGACTGAATTTCTTCTGCATTTCCAGTTATTGATTTGCATTTACAGCTATTGATTACGTAGTCTGTTTTGGGTTCCTTCCTTGCCCTGCTCTGGGATGCACAAGTATACTATGCTTAGTAAGAAACACGATGTGATGAGTTAACAGGGATGAGGGAACAAGAAAGAAAACAGACTGTTTAACTGAAGAGATCCATTACGAGAGAGGAGCCCAAGATTGGATGCAAGGAACAGCACGCAAAGTTGTCTTCCCCTTCACAGAAATGCAAACTTATATTCAGCACGTGTACCAAATAAAATACAGGTACACGACATTTCTTGAATTTCTGCACATCTCTTTATTTTCTGAAAGTCATACCCATTTTTTGTGTATCCAGTTCCTTGGTGATTGCCAGTGAGGGGCATTTTAGGACATGAGCAAAGTATTTGAATGACAGTATCAAAGAAAATGTGGCAGTTTTCTTTTATTATTAACAGCCAGTCAATTAAATATCTCTAAATTTCCTTAGATAACTTACAATGGAACTTATAGTTGAGACTTGATCTTGTAAAAATTTTTTTACTGTAAAAAAAAAAAACAACAACGAGAAAAAGAATCCTTGGCTTAATTTGACTTTGAGCATTTCAAAGCTGGTATTTGCAAACTCAGAAAAAAGAGCTTTTCATTAATCCATAATTTTGGAAACAGTTACTCTAACCCACAACCGCATACAAATACAAAAATCCTAATGGGACTATTTTCTTACTAAGCCTGCAACAGTTTACATTCACCTAATGGCCTGGGGTTATGAGCAAACTACTCAATTAGAGAATTTAGGCTGGTTGCCCACATATTTTAGAGCAAATTATCCCTTCACAAATGCAGAACCCCCTATATAAAACGCCTAACCAGTATTTCCTGTAAAAAAATACTATTCCCTAAATTCCCACCTTGAACCTACTAAGAATTTCTCTTTTTGCTAGGGCAAAGATTTTATGGAAATATTTGTTTTTATATCACATACCTTACTGTTGGTCTTCCTGTGGGCTTGTGTTTTGACTTTAAAGCAGCTAAGAAATTATAATCAAAACACTTCTAAATAAGACATTTCTTTTGTAAGTACTTAAGGTAAGAACCTTAAGTTGGAAGGTGTAGAGTCCTGCCAATTCTTTGATAACGGATCTTCTGCTTGGGGGGTTAAATGAATTTCATGGTTATCCTTAACACTTACTATTTCTTCTTAGGCCTCTTTCATTTAAAAGGGGGTCGGTGCTTCCCATCTATAAACACCCATTAAAAGTTCTCCACCCTTTTATACTTGGCTGCTGCTCTTAATTGTCTGCAGATGGGTGGGTCACTGCATTTTTATTTCAAAGGTAGAGATTTGCAAAATGTAAACGAGCCTATTAAACGTTCTAAATCAAGACTCTCAACATCCATTAAAGGATCCATGTGTAAATGGAGATAGAATGCAATCTGAGAGTGTCTTTTTGTGACAAACATTTTCACCCACATTTAAGTAAAAGTGTGTCTCACCACCAATGCATGACATGTGTTCAACATAAACAGTGCATTGCTAGAGGGGTATTTAAAAATTTCACACAAAACTTGAAACTAAGGAAAATATACATTTGCAAAACATTATTTTTTCTTTTATAATAGTTGATAGATAAGAGATGCCATATAACCTGTCTATCCGACCTTATGAATTTTCACCAGGTTGAAAAGAAAAAAGCATTTTTTTATATTTGACACAACAAAATAAAAATTCAATACAATATAGACCTATAGTACTAACAAACATTTTATTGCATTTAATATAAAATCGTAAAATGTGATAATTTTCAGTTCACCTACTAAATTATCATTTTCTTTCCTGGTAAAATTGCTTTTTAAATAAATGAATGCCAGCACACAGACTTGCTGTGAGTGGGAACTGAAACCTGAGCTAGTTGGGCTCAGCACTGTGCTGCTCTGGCTTATCTTGCCTAAGGGACTGACAGTTTATTTCAGATTCTACAGTTTCTGCCATCCTTCCTTCACTAGCATTTCCCCTTAGTCTTGCTTTTCATTAGCCCACCCTGATGGCGGACCACTTTTCATAAATTAAACAGAAGGAAAAACAAAAGTGTGCTTCTTTTATCTCTGGAAACCAAACCCTTCACAAACTCAATGTAGTTTGATTTCTCTAGGTCTAACATAAAATATTCCAAGTAGCACAAAATATTGCTAGAATCCTTGCACTTAAAAACCAGCCTTAGACACTCACCTTGCAATGGCAGATGCAGTGGAATTGCTTTGGACTATTTCATTCACTTTAGCTTTGAGCCCCATAATCTGGACCCAGCAGTCAACTCAAGATTTGAACATCTGACAATCATATCTCCTTCACCCTTTCTTTAAACACAATGCACAATTTATTTAATTTCAGAGGAATGGTGTTTTCCCTGAACTCCATTTTTAATATACAGATTATAGTGAGAATATTTAAAAGATGGTCCCGTCTTTGAGGTTGCGTTTTCTTCTTTTACTTAATTTTTCTGTGTGACAAAATGGGAAGCAGAAGTTGGGTATCTAAATAGAAACAAAAAAACAATTTAAGTTCCTCTCCTTCAGCTTGCAAAAATACATTTATAAGCTCTCAACAGAATTTTACTTTTAAAAGCCGTTTTAATATTTGTTATCTTCTTCTGAGTAAAATAAGCTGATGCTTTTACATGTGGATCTTATTATGTGAAAAGCTGTCTAAGCCTGCTATTGAACATAATCATATGAATTACGAACTGTGACTTTATTTCTTTTATAATCTTTGTAGTTCTTGCCATTACTTTTACATGTCTATGTCTGGCATTATGTAGCTTTGAAACTATGCCAAAAATATTTATTGTCGTCTATCTGGCATTCTTATACTATGTAGCTGAGTTTGGTTTCCAAGCTGGGCAAAACTTATTAGCAGATACAGTTCTTGGCATTTGTTTGAAAAAAAAATCATATGTAATTTTAGTACCCCCCTGAAATACAACCTTTTGCTCTCTTTGAAACATGTATGAAGTTGAAATTCCAATGCTTCAGCTATCTCTTTTCCCAATTTTGAGTAATTCCTCAGTTATAGAATACATAAAATGGAACACAATAATAACAAAATAAAGCAGAAAATGAAAGAATAAATTTAACTACAAACCAGCACATTTTGAAATGTTTGTATAGAGGGTCTTTGTAAGATATTTCCCTAGTATGCAAATCCCCAGGAAGCTGGGACAGGGTCCCAATGGCACCGTGCAGTGCTAGTACTCTGTGGCTGCATGAACTAATAAGAATAACAAGCAAAATGTGTATGAATAATTCTTTTACTAATCTCTTTGCAGCTTGACTAACAAAATTCTTTAAACAAGTGTTAGGAAGATATTCAGTTCCTGCACTTGCTGTTTATTTTGCTCAGGCATGGCATAATTCTTTCCATGTAGTGCATTTTCAATAGATTTTTGTGTACACAGATAAACTGTTAGCATTATTTAAGATGTTTTTAAGGTATTATTAAGGTATTAAGGGATACTTTCTAAAAGAAGGTAAAATCATGACTCATACAAATATAAAACAAATACATATCAAATATTTTACTTAATGAATTAATTATTGAGAGAACCAGAAGAATGATATAAGCAATTCAAAGGAGAATTCAAAGAAGCAAATACGTGGGGGCAATGTGGAAAGCTAAAATACAATTACAAATAAATGCAAAACTGATCTACACATAGAGCAATAACCAACTGCATTCTACATTTAATTTATTTACATTTCTATGGACAAGAATCATTTGTATTATCCATTTTCTATAATTTACAGAGTAATACATAATAATACTTGCACCATGCACTTTAGATGGTAAAGATTCTATATTTGAAATTTAATATAAATTATTCTGTATTTATGCATTCATTAATTTTTTTCGGTCAACAAATTCTTTTGAATCCCTATTATGTGCCAGGCACTGTATTTGATGCTGGGTATATAATGGTGATCAAAAACAGCCCTCCTAGATCTATGGTTTAGTGTGGGAGAAAGACATTAATAAAATAATCAAATAAACGCAAAAATAAATGTACACTTGTAACTGATCAGAGCCACAAAGGTCTCTGAGAGAAGTCTGCAGGGCTCTGAGATGGTAAAATTAGTAGAATGATGATTTCAATGTAAGTTAATTTTACATGAAGTATCATCTATATTTCCTGATTTTTATATTTACCAAAGGTAATACTTTAAATTAGAAATTTATTTTTTAAAAGTTCTATCTTCCTGAGTCAATTACTCATACAAAACCTAGTAAGTCTGCAACACACAAACAATTCTAATATTTACATACTTCAATATTATGGTAAAAAATAGTGTAACATAAACTTGTGTTAATTTATTAATTAGATTATAGAAGAGGATCATAGATGGTTACAATTAGTAAAGTCAAAATTCAATCAATCAGCTGATCTTTTGCCAGTTGCTCCCTCTGGAGTCCTCCCTCCCACTCCCCACCACCACACTGTTTTCGTCATGGTTCAGCAGCCAGTACCCTCTTCAAAACAATTACATGTGATATATTTGGTCCACAGAAAGATGTCACTCTTCAGTGTTTTAGTTACTTTGGAATCCATGACACCCTGTATTCTGAAATGCTCTAAGCCCCTTTGGGTTACTCAGTGCTGAGCATCGCTGAGCACTTTTGTTGCCTATTCCCTCCATTCACTTAACTGTATTCCCTTTATCTCCAAAGATCCAATTAGAAGATACCTTTCATGAAGATTTGATAATATAGAATAAGATACAGATGCATTCACTTTTTGAACAGGTTGTAGACATCCACTCACATAAGCTACATTTATACAAACTATATGAATGTGACCCTGGCAAAACAACAAAAATACAGATTTTTGTTTGTTTTTTCCATAGTAGTCATGATAGCTGTGAGTGAAGTCATTCATACTTGTCCAAATATTGCTTTTGATCTTACGTGTGAGGCCACTAAAAATGATCCAGCACCTTTAACCCTTTACCTTGTGTCTTAGATAAGGTTTCCTAGAAGTGCACCATCAGATGAGGATTCCTGTGCAAGTGATTTATTAAGAAAGTGCTCCTGGGGGAAACCAGTAAGGGGATGTGGAAAGCAGGACAGGGAAGAGAAGACAGCCAAGCAAGGATGAATCTCAGGCCATCTCCCATAGAGGGCAGCTTCAGCCTGTGCCTGCATGGGAACTCTCGAGTGTAAGTTATGCCTCAGAATTGTCCTGACCAGAGGGTAAGGAAGCTGATCTTTCATACTCCTGCACCTATTGGCCCTCCCTGGCTGAGGTAGGGTAGGGGAGGTAAATTCCTAGGCACTTTCCAGTGTTGGCAAAGTGAGATCCAGTGTCCCCAGCACATCTTCTGAAAAACAGCCCAGTGTTTGATGTTGGAAGCAGAAACAAAGAGGTAAAAAGGGATGTGAAGATATTGAGGAGAAACAATGACAGTGTTTGCAATGTCCTACCTGGTCCCCCAAATCCATTCTCCTTTTCTTCTTGGGACATGTTCAGACTATGTCTCCCAGCCTCCTATGTTGAGTGTGATGGTAACCAGGTTCTCTTCAGCAGAATGGAGTGGAAGTGACGTGTGCCACTTCTGGGCCTGGGATAGCTTCATCCATGCTGTCTTTCTCCTCCCTGATGGCTGGAACTCAGGATGACCAAGCTTATACTATAAAGATAATGACAGTGACTTAAGGTATGTGATAATGCAACATGAAAGAAGGACTGGGGTCCCTGGGTGACTTCATGGAGCAGAACTTCTTCATGATCCAGAGTAGTCATGTTGGACTATTAGGTAAGAAACAAACTTTTTCCTCAAACCACTCAATTATTGTTGGGTCTCTATCTCAGCAGCCTAGGCTTTTCCTAATTAATACAAGATGCTTTATTCTTATCATGACATTATATTATATTACAGATCCATTTTTAATTGTTTATTCTTTGTTTCCTCTATTAGAATATATACTATATGAGAGCAGGAGATTTGTCTATCTTTTTCTTTCTGGCATAAAATACTCATTAAGTACATATTTAGTGAACAAATGAAAGTGTAGCTACCTTGCCCTACAATAATTAAAATGTTAAAAATCACATTACAATTAAAGAACTTACTATAATGCTAAGTTAGGAGTGGTATAGAACAAATGGAAAGAGTTTAATGAAAACTAATCCAAATGATTAATGAGATAAAATACTGATATATTAAAAATGGACAGAAGATAAATTATATAATCTTAAAAAAATAAGGCTGAAGGGCACCTTGGTAACTGTCTTTGCGTATTAGAAAGGCGATTATAAAGAGGTTGCTGACCAACTGTTTTCCACGGCTGCAGAGGAAAAACTAGCAGGAAAGAGCTTAAACTGACCTGACAGTAATAGTGATTAAACATTAGAAAAGGCTCCAGAGTGATATTGTAGAATCTCTGTCCCTGGTGAATTTTAAGGACAAACCATCCGTCTTAGACATTTCAGGCAGAGCCTTGCAGGAAGAGAGAGGTTTGGATTAAATGACTCCTTGAGCTGGCTCCCTTTCAATTCCAGGAGTCTGTGCCACTGCACAAGGTATCAGGGGATCTGGCAGTGACATCTTTCACTCCAGTGACCAGTCGGACTGATTAACTGGCATCTCTTATCTGTAACCTGAAAGAGTTATTTCTCTGTGTAAAGCTGATGGGGTGGGGTGGGAAGTAGGGAGCAAAAAGACTGATTTCCCAAACTAATGATATTAAAGAGTATACTTTGTACCTAGAACTCTAAGATACTAAGTAACTTCCATATGATCAATACAAACTAACTGGAAAAGTCCTAAGATTTTTGATACACTTCAAGTGCTAGGTTTTGTTTAGTAAGATTAACTTCTATAGCAATGATGGAAAGATAATGACAACGTCAGCAGTGAAATGACACAGAAGAGAGAGAAGAGTTACTGTTGATATTCATTTACAATATTTATTTACATTGGTGTTGTAGCAATAGCAATAATGTAAAAATGCCATTTATGGATACTGCATTAAAATTTATACTATATTTATATTACTCATCAATAGTCATGTTAGAAGGCCCCTAAAGACAAGCTTTCAATGGAAAAGAGATTTTGTAAGTCTTAGAAGTTTGCTTTTTCAATACTGAATAATATTGCAGCTATGATCTTGAAGGAAAATATTTTTGCTATTGGTATATATACGTTTTTTGCATTTTAGCACAGAATTGTGAAAAACAATTAAAATTGAGAATTTATATATTGTGGCGATTTCCAACTTTACTAATAAGTAATTTTAGTGAAACTTTACATGTTTGTTACGAGTCCAAAGATGAACTTTTGAATTCTTCCAGAAAGGTGGAAAAATCCTGCTTTTATATTCTGAGATGTTGTAGAGTTTTATTAATTTTTTTATTTTAATGGTAGGTGCTATATAGTTACAACCCTGTAGGAGGTTTTTTTTCATTGAGGGGAAAAAAATCTAGTCAAATTTAATGGAAATATCACTACTCTTTATGTGAGGAATCTTGAACGTAAATGTTGCTCTTAAACACATGAAGTGATACTCAACCTCTCTCACAATTAGAAAAATACAAACTAAAGTGAGACACCATTTTTTAAAACCCATCATATTGTCAAAAATTGAAAAATGTGGGGCTGGCCCCGTGGCCAAGTGGTTAAGTTTGCGTGCTCTGCTGCAGGCGGCCCAGTGTTTCGTTGGTTCGAATCCTGGGCAAGGACATGGCACTGCTCATCAAACCACGCTGAGACGGCGTCCCACATGCCACAACTAGAAGGACCCACAACGAAGAATATACAACTATGTACCGGGGGGCTTTGGGGAGAAAAAGGAAAAAAATAAAATCTTAAAAAAAATTTAAAAACGTGATCATACGCTGTGTGGTCCAGGCGAGGAGAGAGGCACCATCCTGGTGGGTGTGTAATCTAGTACAACTTCTGTGGAGGGGAATTTGGCTATATCTGTCGAAATTTTCGCTGCACACATCCTCTAACCCAGTAATTCCACTTCCAGAAATTCTTTCTTACAGATGTACATTGGCACACAGAGAAATGGCACATGCACAAGGTCCTAGACTGCTGCATTGTTTGTCATTGTAAAAGATCAGAAACAGCCTAAATGTCCATCAGGAGGAAATGAAGAATGCTTCATCCTTTCAATTGAATATAATGCAGCCACTACAAAGACTGAGAAATGATTCTTAAGATATATGCAGAACAGTGTATAGAATAAACTAGTCTTTGTGCAAAAAAAGAGAAAAAACAGAGAGAGAGAGAAAGAGAGAGAAATATATCCATATTCACAAAACATATCTGAAAAGCTACCCAAGAAGCAGCAACAGTGGTTGCTTCCAGGGAGGGAAACCATGAGTCCTCAGGACAGGGTGGGAGAGAGACTTAATTTTCACTATATGCCCTTTTGCAACTTTTGAATTGTGTATCATATGCATGTATTACCCATTCAAAAAATAAACAAAATAATTAAAATAGAGAAATATTGTGAATAGTGGAACAACATTTATTCTTAGCTTCAGGATTTATTTACATTAAATATGAAATTATCTTTAATTTCAAAGTGTACAATCAAAGAAATTCCAAAATTTTTTAGACTTTGCTCACACTTTCTGTGTGGGTTATAATTAATATTTAAAATATGAAAACACACCTCAAAACAATTTTTAAATATTGCCCTATGTAAAGATCACAAGTTATCATTCTTTTCTCCTTCACCTTTAAAGTACGAGGTCCTTGAAGCCAGAGACTCTGTACTCTTGCACTCAGAAGGATACAATGGGAAAAAAATACTGCTTAAAAAAATTATTTTAATTATAAAAGTAATCTGTGTCATGTATATTTCAAATTTGCCAGTTATTTTCAAATTGGCCTTAAGCTAGTACCAATTTATACTTCTACCAACAGCATATGGGAGTAACACTACAGAGCACACCTCAAGTAGGATATTTGAAATGTTTTGCTCCAACATCTCAGAGAAATAGTCGTAACTAAATTTGGCTAAATAATTTAGATGGAAAATAAGAACAACTTACTGATATTTAGGTAGAATTCCTAAAGGAAGCATAAAGTCTCTGAAGTACTCTGAAATGAACCATTTTGCAAAAAGTTGAGAGTGGAATTCAAATAACTTCAGAAAAGGAAAAAATGGAGTAGACCGTTCTAGAGTGAAGTTATCTCCGATAGAAATTATGGAAACGTTTTCGAAAAAGTAAGCCACTTTTCAAAGCACAAACAATATTTCTAAGATAAAACAAAGATAATTTGCTCACATCACCAGTTGTAGAGGGTCAAGCTTTAATGCTAAAAGAATTAATGTTGGAGGTGTTGAAAGATGGCATCTGGAAAAACCACTGAAAAGAAAGAGAATAATTCAAAGTTGTTATGAATAATTATAAAGAGACATAATATTCCAAATTCTTCCATTAAGTTTGGATCACCAACCAGTGTGAGGCATATTGGAGCCTAAGGCAAAAGGAGAAATCAGTATACTGATCCTGTCTTTATTTAAGATTTTGATGTTTTGTTCACCATAGATTTTTTGCATTGACTTTTAAAAATACTGAATTAAAATATTATTTATATTTGCTGAGTTTTTTGACACCCCTCTACATTTTGGACCTGAGGCAAATGCCTCAGTTGCTTCATCCTCGTGCCAGCCCTGTTGATCACCCAAATAACAAAATGATGTAGGGAAAAGAGAAATAAACAAGTTAAAGCCTCTCTTAAGCACCATTTTCTCAATGTTCCAAATATTCTATGGAGAGATGTTAAGATGAGAAAAAACAGAATTGATGAAATGCTAAATTTTAAAAAATTCTTACAAGGCAGCTAGGTATATATTCTTATCCATATTTTATAGATGAAGAAATTGAGACTCAAAGAAGTTAATAGTTTGCTTGTGACACACAAACAGCATGTGACTCAGCCAAGAGATTGAAACTTAGATGTCTTTTACCAAAGCCCAAATTCTTTCCAATACACTAGATTCTTTCTCAGGAAATTATTGACATTTGAATCAAGCCCTGAAAGAAGAGTAGGGATTTTCCAGGAGCAGAAGAAGGGACAAGACATTTCAGGCAGTGGGGGTAATTGTGGATAAAGCCTGGAAGTCATGCCCAGAGACAGATCTACCAGGAAGCTAAGGAAGTTGATGTCTCCTGATTCCTTGGAAGAAACTGTACTAAGCTTCTTGATAGGGACTCTAGCAATGTGTTCATAAGATCATACATTTTTGAAAAATTTGCCCAAGTAAGTTATTTTAACTCCAATCAGTGAAGATTGCTGTGTGTTTCCCTCCTGGGTTTCCCTCCATCACACTTCCCCTTGGGTTAGATGGCTTTGCAATTGCTCAGGCATTTTTGAGATCTAGCTTAGGGGTAGTTTATTTGGAGATAATGCTATTTTGGGTTTAGTGGGATTTATTTACACAGTTTACAGCCACTCCTGTGGTTATTGCTAGCCTTCTCAGGGTAAGAATATCTTCTAGGCTTACTCCAATTGCTCATTCTGTGGACTCAACTTGGCATGGTGGTATGAAAGTACAAGCTTAGAGGCTATCACAAAATGAGTGGTACCTGAGTATGGGAATAGGTTCTCAGGGGAGCAGAAACAAGGTCTGCAATGTATGGAGCCAGAAGCTAGGCTGTGGAAAATTC